TATCAAAACGCCTGCCATTTGAAATAAATAAATAAATAATCTCCAATCTTTGTTAAAAAAGAATTATGAAATGAAGTGGAAGCATGTCAAGTGGTGGGTAGAAATTAAAAGTAAAAAAATAGAAAAGATAGCAATTGACTGTGAAATACGAATTATGTGAACTAGTGACGCAAATTGAAATAATTAAAATTACTCTTTTGCTTTAAATGGCTTTTGTGTTAAAAGACGCGGAATTAATCTTTCATAAGACCTTTTAGAATTCGAAAGTCGTGCCCATTTTGCACTTTTAATCAAGGTCACCAACTGTAACCATTTTGCTTTCCATTCTATAACAGGTATTCATTTCAATGGTTGTAGATTTGAAGAGAGGTACTAAATGAGATGCAACTGTGTCCACACTTTACTCATAAGGAGAATACAGTTCGTAAATACTTTTGCGATTCAGTTATTTAAAGAATTGTGTTTGGGGCAGGATGTAATGGCTTGTCAGGACAACGAAGAAATTTACTGATTAGTCATCAATTAGAACGCACATCGGAACCAAAGTCCACTGACCTGATAGGCTGTCAATTAAGGAAAGAAGTTCTGTAGTCTGTGTGCTATTAGCCATGGAAATTGCAACGTACACACAGCCTTTGTGCAATCCCATTGTAGGATAGAACCTAGGTGGCAACCTGAAGTGAATGAGCCCCAACTACATGGAAATCTGTAGGTGAAATAAGAACATGAATTTTAAAATTGAGAGAGGACTGAACAAACACATTGTATGTGCATTCGAGCAGTCTGGAACGTGTAGCGTGCTGCTAATTGCTTAATGAGCTAGTGAGTATTCTCGAAACCAACTCGTGCAATAAGGGCGTTTTCGAGAGCACTTTCATATTGGAGGATCATGTGTGAAAGAGAGACTGTGTCAATGTTTAATGGAGGCCAATTTGTGTTGCATCTACAACAAGTTCACGTACGAACACAATGATCGATCTGGTACTCCCACCCCAGATTATAACTGTGACAGCTCACTCCGGTTTTACACTTTTAACTACAAAACAGAAGCAGATAATCATAGTAGACTCAAGAGAACCAAGTTTTCCATGGCACTCGATATTGAAGTCTCCATTTTTGCAAAAGTAATTGTGAAGTAGACCATTTCAATGGTAATAAGTAAATAAACGCCAAATCTTATTCATTAATAACCAAGTACATCTGATTCGAAATAAATTATTAGACTAGGCATGAAAGACATAAGCCATCCATAGAGGTGATTTGTTATCACTGGTACGTTTAAAAGAATAAGAAAGCCAAATTTGTGCATTGAAAGCCTAAATGTGCACGATTAGTAACGAGTCATTGGAGGCATACAGATCAAAGTGTATACATTCCAATGATTGAACAATCGTGTACTTGTTTGCATTCACAAAAATGTTGATCGATATAGATTCCGTGGGAAAAGCTTTGAGATACTCATCCAAACAGCCTATATTGTGAGAAATGCTGTGGTTAGCGCATTGTGCAAGCGAAAAGGCGGAAGAGCGAAGGAGAGAGAGTGAGCGTGTAATGCTGATTCAGTGTAGAGATCAAATTAGAAGTTGAATTCTTTGCCTTCTTTGCTTGCCTGTTGATCAACCAACGTGACTTTAAAGAAGAATAAATTCAGGATATATGCGGATGAAAGGAACATGCTACTTAAAACTATAAAGTAGTGCAGACTGAATTGGCAAGAAATTGTCTCATTAAACAGTGAGGACAAGAGTGCATTTCAATGCATGAACAATCGATAGAGGTCAACTATTGGCCATGGGGCTCTGAAGTGCTCAAAAAACCTACTCTCTTCTGGCGTATTAATGGTCAAGTGTTTATTTATATAGAAGTGTGCGATAGATTAACCTCCACGTGGTGCACACTGGGCAACGTATACTCATACGGCAAAAAAGTCTATTAACTGGCAGTTGGCTTCTAACTTCAAATTACTATGACCCGACAGTACTCAGCTTACCTTTACTCTACCTTTGTGTCTCTTACGTCTGCGAATCTCTCCTCTCGAATTTTTCCCACTTGGATGTTTCTCCCCTCTCTGAAGCCCCAAGTCAGCTAAAGAACTAATGATAATTATCAAAACACCTGCCATTTAAAATATATAAATATATTTATATATATACACCTTCTTTATTCGTGTACTTAAGCCATTGTATCATTCACATTTCACCCTATGGGTAGGTCTGTTAAATTGTAATCTAATTAGTTATCATGTGATGTTTTGAACTTTCTCATTGTACTTAGATAGTTCACCTCCGGCGGTGCGTTCTTGCGCATAACTAATCCTAATTGCAGGCAATTCAATAAAATAAATAGTGAATATTGAAGCGAAAATGAATTTCAAAACTAAGCGTTACAAGCCAATGGTGGAAACACCCTTCGAAGAGAATAAAAGTTAGTTTGAGACCTCACAACTCTCCATCCCTCACCCCCACCCCCACTCCCTCTTCCTCTCTCACCTCAATCGACTTGAGTTTCCAAGCTTCGTGTCCTTTCCTCCGGTTTGCACACTCGAGTCGATCGTTAAATTAATGGATTCAGTATTACATATCACATTTATCGGCATCTCGACCTCAGTGGTTATGCCTGGTCAATGCACAGGTTGGTGAATTGGAGCTTCTCAGTGTTGAGGAGCCATGATGTTAGTCTAGAGGCAAGATGACAGTTGGGAAATCCTTTTCTAAATAGGTTTGGGAAATTATTACAGTCATTAATAATTACTACACTGAGAACCAGACGATGCGAATGGTCAAGTCAATCTGTGTTTAATATATTGAATTGTATTTTAAGTAAAGACTGTGATTGGAGGAGAATGAAGTTGCCTCGACTCTAGATTTAATCTGATACTCGAAAACACTTAAACTGAATAAGCATCTATTGGAGCCATGGTAATCAAAACCTATGCATCGATGATCAATGGATGGAGGTCAACATCTATCTGTAGATCTTTCCAAATGTTCGCTCAAGTCACACTTCCCTAATATGTTCAGTCCAAAAAAATGTATTTGATTGGCTATTTCGACTGATAAATTCCGTTATCACTCGAAAATATTCCAATAAATAGAGCTATCGTATGGTAGAATATTTATCCAAGGTTCACTTCTTCATCTCTAATTTCACCATTCATTTTCAACACGTTTCTTCCCAATTGCAGAGGTCGAACCACTTCTGTGAATAACTCAACTCTCGCACTTGAAGGCGCTTATGTAGAACATCTCTTCTCTTCCAAAGCATAAAGGTTGGAGACTGAGAAAAGAAGTACAAAGTTGCTTGAATTCCAACGTTTGTCATTTTGCCTTAATGGGGCTTCGGAGTGGGAAGAAATGTTTTAGGTGCGTGTGTATTGGCGATCGTGTAGTGAGCAAGTGGGTCTTGTGAGCAGAGGGCCCTCTCAGATACTCTCCGATTACCATTCATTCAGCAGAGATACATCTAATCCCATTTTGGAATCCATACACTTCACCCTATGCTTCGCGTGCTTTTTTGCAGTGTTGGACGTAGACTCACCACATCGTATGGGGAAAACTGATGGTAGAAGAACCTGTGAAAAAATACTTATGTTAGTCTCCACCTATTTGGACTTCTCAGTGGACTGTCGGAAACCAGACAACTTGAATCATTCTCCTCTTCCAATCACCAGGAGTTGTTGCTGTCTACTAGTCGCTTGAGGTTATCAAGTAATCAGTAACTTTTTTCCCATGCTCTGGTGGTTTCTTTTTAATACTCAACTCATAGTTACTAGTGACTTATAGCATATTTCCTTTATTTTGTCATTATCATACACAAATTTTGCTTCAAATTTGAATATATTTCTCTCTATATCTTTAGAAAAGATGAGCACTAAAGTTAGTGTATCGGAGATAACTTTGTCATAAGAGGGTGTGCGATAGACTTACCTCCACGTGGTGCACCCTGGACAACGTATATTCCAACGGCAAAAAAGTCTATCACTCGGCATTTTACTTCAATTTATTACGGGCCATTTGAAATAATAATATTAATAATAATAATAAACTTTCTCATAAGTAACCGACCAAATACTTCTACAATAATTTGAATGAATTAGTTTATAAACGACCTGTCTATCAAATGGTTGCTTTTCCCAATTAACCGACAAAAATAATCCGTAATATATTCCATCACTTGATAAACTACTAAACACGACTTTAGGGCGAAGTAGGTAGATATTTATTCCTCAAAATTTCTTCATCTTCATAGTTAAAAGACCTTCAACATCTATTTAAAAAGACTGAAAACGGTTAGAAAGTGCTCTCCTGGGTGGAAAAGTAGACAAGTAAGACTAGTGGAGAATAATGACTGCATTGTTGTTACAAGTTGTCCATTGGTTCTGGGGTTTGCTGGTAGAAACGTCGATACTTCTCATCAATGTGTGTCAAGTAGAAGGTACCGGGAAAGAAACGTCTCCTCAAATTCTCCTTTGAATATTCCACTGGAGCTAAAGGAAGAGGGGATAAGTGTTACATCATTACAACTCCTAAGGGGCAAGGAAGTAAATGTTTAAGTGGGGTGCACGATAGACCCACCTCCACATGGTGCAACCTGGACAACGTATACTCATACACCAAAAAAAGTCTATAAACCGGCAGTTGACTTCACAATTCAAACTACCATGACCCCATTCCATGTCATATTCTATCGATTCCACAGTATTCACGTCTCTACATCTGTGAATCAATCTTCTGTTCCCTCCTCTCGACTTTGTGTGACTTTGATGCTCCTCTCCTCTGTCAATCCCGAAGTCAACTAAAAAGGGCTAATGATAAAGTAAATTTTCAAAGCCTAAGTCCTCAATGATTGCTGCTTAGTTTGCTTCTAAATGAAAGTGCATACGACACGTGGGTGCTTTCTTAAACTTGATGCAATTCATCGACCACTCTTGAATATTCGAACTAATATTGCGCACTGCAGCTCCTCCTCTCATGGACTCTTATCTTTTTTTGCAATTGATTTCCTATCAAAAAGTGCAATTAGGGCAGAGTTACTGTTAACAAATCATTCCAGTAAATTAAAATGATAACTGCTGCATTCTATTGTAACTCAGGATTAATACTTTAATAAAAGGAGAATATACGAGCTCACTGAAACAACAAAATAATTTAGCCAATTTAGAGGGAGAAAAACAGTAGTAAAAAATATGCCCATTGTTTCACCATTTACTTGGCAAAGTTGGTATGAAAGCATTCCCCCCCCCCGCCACTGCTGCTTCAGATTGTTCACTGGACGCGAGCTAATTGCATGGATAAGTACTCACCTCCACTGGCATCTTGCCATTTGTGGAGAATCAATCGACCACACGCAGACAACCGCTCATTTTTTCAAAAACCTACTTGAGTTGCTAATTCCTTCTAATGATTCAACATTCCAACTCCATTGTCAAATAACTACTCATGTGCCCATAATTAAATTTAACTATTTCCGGTAAACAGGATTTAGACCAGTGCAAGAGAGGCATTAGCCGCGTCTTAGGGGTCAACATAGTGATGCCTCAAATCTCGCTACGATCAATTCGAAAGGAGTGGAATTAAACTTGGTGGAGAATGGAGGAACGCATTCCAAATCGGATAAATTTTAAAATTTCCAAAACTAAAAAACATTGACATTTTTGTTAACCATAAGGCAAAAAAATTATCCACCTTTATCAACAGCAGCTTCACGGGCGTGTAAGTTCGCAGAAAATTCATCATAAGACATCGATGTTCTTTGAGCCAATTTATCGAATGGCGATTGTGAAGACGCTCCAACAATGCTTTCCATTTCAGCCGTCTCTGCTATTCGTAGACTGAACATTGATGCCGTGTAGCCCGAGCCATAGCTGAACATCAGAACACGACGTCCACGCAACTGTTCCTGTGGAATTCTGCCAAAACGAAGATAAATCAGATTCAAAGAAAAACAATTAGGAGAAGACTGAACACAGACCATCTGAATCCGATCACTGAAAGTCATTTAATTATTTCAAGAATTTACAAAAAAGTTCCCGGTGAAATCAATGGAAAAATTAGCAATATCTGAACAAATGTTTATGAAAGTCTACCAAAGTAAGTTCAACGACAAGGTTAGAAACTTGGATTAGGTAAATAGCACAACTATTCCCTAAATGTACTAACGATTTCTGGGATTCTTCCACGAGAAATTAGTTATCAACGCCTTGGTAAATAAAACTAAAGATAGATATTTCAATGATGAACCAAGAATACGATTTTTATGACTGGTAAGAGAGGAGGTGCGCGATAGACTTACCTCCACGTGGTGCACCTTGAGCGACTTATATTCATACGACAAAAAGTTCCACCAACAGACAGTGGAATTCTCATTACAAATTACCATGACAATGACTATATGTCATAATCCACCACTTCCACAGTACTCACTTTTCCTTTTTCTCCACCTTTTTGTCTGTCTGTCTCTTTTACATCTGTGAATCACTTTTCTGCTCCCCTATTGAATTTTTGCTTCTGTAAAGCCCGAAGTCAACTAGAGGGCTAATGGGAGCTACACAAAGCGCCTGCCATTTGATATGACATGAATAAATGGTTGGGAAGAGATGTGAACTTACGAGCAAAGAAGGGAGATAAGGCAGGAGAAGAGCGAAGCTGTGTACATATTGCCGACTTGACTTGCAATACGCAGACTAGGGGCCACTTTCGTCTCGAAAAGTTCACGGGATGCTGAAAGGCAGGCTTCTTCTACTTGTCGGTTTATCTCAATACTGAAAAATAATAATAATAATATTAATAATAAAAATAACGCGCTAGTGATTGAGGTTATCACAATGCTAATGCTCTCGTAATGACAAGATATAACCAATGAATGTGAAAATGATAAGTGTCCATCTTGTGGCTTTCAACTTCCTTATCAACAACTTATGTGAATGCACTTTGGCGTTACCAGGTAATTTACTCAATGGCAACGATTAACTCGGAAAGAAATTCTCTGGCAATACATGTTTAGCATTTTTCATAAAAATAAATTTCAATTACATGTTTAGATTAAACCAATACAGACAAGCAGTTCTTATGCATCGATATCAAAGTTTTACCCTGAAGATTAAATAGAAATTGCGTCGAACTCTAAGATACTTCAGACACGAACTCCTTTCACCACTGGTCCAAATGTCTGCAATGTGCTGGAAGGAGGAAAAGCGACTTCAAATCAGAATCTCCACGTGGTCAAATATTCAAGAAGGCTCCAGGTGATTGGCACAACTAGGTTAGGAAAACTATTTACTTTTTTCCAATGCAAAAAATGGCAGCGGAATGATACACAGAATTGCATGTACAGACCGATGTAAAGACAGTTAAAAATTAGCATGAACAACTCGCAGCGTTGAGAGGTTAAAGAAGAATCCGTCGATAGATTCACTTGACGCACCAACTTATGCATTTTATCTTATTAAGCCTTAGCCTTAAAAAAGATCGCCTAGGAGTTGCTTCTCAATATACGGGGCACACCCACAACACACACCCACAAAAATTACTAAAGGCCTTCCCCTTATCCAGCCAATGCTCCAATCTCCAAGAAGAATAATACAATTCCTGCCGACCTGCAGAGAGAGAGTAAGCGTGGGTTAGCCAGGAGGCGAATAGCGCTGGAAATGTCACAACACCTGGGGTGCGCGATAGACTTACCTCCACGTGGTGCACCCTGGGCAACGCATTCTCATACGGCAAAAAAAGTCTATTAATCGGCAGTTGACTTCTCACTTCTAACTACCAACACCACACTGTATGCCATATTCTACCACTCCCATAGTCCTCTATTTTACACCTTTGAAACATTCTTCTCTTCCTCCCCCCCCCCCTCTCGACTTTTTTTCACTTTGATGTTCTTCTGCCTCTGTGAAGCCTGAAGTCAACTATAGGGCTAATGATAACTATCATAACGACTGACATTTGAAATAAATTATAATGTCATAACACCACGTTGAAACAGAGCGGCAGTGTGAGTAAACACAAGTGGTCCCACCACACAGTCGTTTGTACTTTTCATTGCGTTAGTTGCTATTTCACCTTCTTGGTCATACAATAGCAAGTGGCATAAGTGTACAAAATGTGATCACATGAAATTGTAGCCCTGACGATCGGACATGGCCTTGCATTTTCATTTACCAACGAAATCCAAGTATGGGATAAAAATTTTTACAAACTAAAATGGATGCCTACATTAATGCATGGATGAAATATTAGGAATAACAGGAAGAACTGCATAATTTACTTAATGATCAAATTAAACGAAATCATCATTGTCATCATCATCATGAAAATACGAAAAGTAGTTGTGCTTTCAGTTTTTAGAAGAAAAATGGAGGTGAGTAGAAATTGGAAAGGTTTTCTAATTTTCTGAAAATCAAATATTTTTGTGTAAACACATACTTGGCTAATCCATTTAGTCATGTCGACCCTTCTCCAACAACTGAAGACCAATTAACCTGGCACTAGGTGGCATCATTCAATTTAGCTTACAGGCAACAGATATTAAAGTGTTTGGACATCAGAAGGACAGGACTTGCGGCTGGAAATTCAATTTCATGAAATAAAAGCAATCAATCAAATAATTCGAGAGTGCAAAGAAATTAAGGTCAAGAGAATTGACTCTATTTTTAATTTGCCTAATGAGCACAAACAATCCATCGGGTAGGTATTTTTTTTTATAACAAATGGCAGGCGTTTTGATAGCTATTATTGGCCCTTTAGTTGACTTCAAGCTTCACAGAGGGGGATGAGGAACATCAAAGTGAGAAGAATTCAGGAGGGGGAATAGCAGTGAATTCTTCACAGAGGGGGATGAGGAACATCAAAGTGAGAAGAATTCAGGAGGGGGAATAGAAGAGTGATTCATAGATATAAAAGAGACAGACAGACACAAAGGCTCAGAAAGGGTAAGATGAGTACTGTATAAGTAGTCAAATATGACATACAGTGGGGTGACGGTAGTTTTTAGTCAGAAGTCAACTGCCAGTTAAAAGACTTTTTTGCCGTATGATTATACGTTGCCCAGGGTGCACCACGAGGAGGTAAGTCTATCCCACACCCCTACATCGGGTAGGTAGTTATGGGCTAATTTGCCTAAGCTAGTAATAAGCAAATATATAATCAGTTAAATGCGTATTAATTTTACAAGCCTTAAAAAATGTAAGACTTGCAAAAAACGCGAGGTTCTAAAAGCCAATCCATAGAGATTAGATCGCAAAGGCCTTGTTCAAGAAACTGTGGTAGAAATGTAAATTTAAAAAGCGCAACAACAAACTCTGCCCATTAAGTCAGATGGAATAGGACTAAAAGTCCTTTGTTAAATGGTCATTAAATCTATTTTTTGAGCAGATGATGAAACGATGTGAGTTTTTTATAACTCTCATGATGTGCAAAGAGTAATGTGTGTGGTAGGAAAATGATAAGAAAAGAATGTCTTTAAATAAACGGGTAAACAAAGAACTGCTTGTCTTAAACTCTTAAAGGCCCTATGACTACTTACAAGTCATAAAAATTGGATGTGATTTATGAAGCTAGGATCTAAATGACGACAGCAACAAAATTTTAGACTGGTGTCAACAACATTCAGGTTTTATGCACAATTACTCCCATCGAGTCAAGACCTTTACAACTCCTCCAACCATGAGAGAGAAACGCATTTGTCTGGCCACTTGGAGAAGAACCCATAACATTCTGTATTCTAATCCAAATGCGTCCAACCAACATAACAATAAAACAAAAAAAGAAACTTTTTACAAACCATCAAATAGTTAAGTTAAACTTACATTCCGGCTAAATGTCCATATGGAATCAGATTTGAAAAAAAAACTCACAGAGGAATCCATGACAGGTATTAATATTAATTCCTTAACTTAGTTAACAATCTGTAATACCTCATAAAAGGACTAAGTTACTTCAATAGCAACTGGATATTTAAGCAAGTATATTGCCTACCTATCAGCTTCATTTGCAAATGGAGTAAGTTGTTCAATAACCGACTTCTCTGAGGAAGAGTATTCAAATTGGGTGCCATTGACAACATTTTCATTGGATTCCGAACCAGAAAGAGCCTGTTTGACATCCAGTAAAACCATTCGACTAAAGGACTTCGTAACCAATCGATAGAAAGGCGAGTGAAAACAGACATAATCGATTGAGAATTCAGATGGATTTCGGTCACCCATTACTCTCACTTTGTGACCTATTTAAGATAGAGCGGATGGAACATTGTTAAAACGACATCAAAATAGACAAATTAAGACTGATTAACACCATTTACCAGTAAATTTCTCAACTTTTTCTTTAAATCGGCGATAGCAAGTAAGCACAGCCTCTCTGTAACAACAGATACTCAACTTTCCGTCGACTTCAGGAAAAATAGACTTCATAAGAGGTTTGTAGAAATCATAACGATTGCGCATTGTGCAAACACGAAGACCTGTTAGAAGGAATATAACAATTAATAATATGGGAAAAAAGCTTTTCAATGAATCATTACGAGGTATTCGAATTAAAGAAAATATGGGCACAGTTAATGATGAGACACAATGAAAGAAGCAAATTATTGACGGGCATGGTTGTAATACGAAGAGCAATTAATTAGGACAAAAATTGTACAAACCCGAATCGAAGACAAGAGGGGCATTAGGACCAAGAAGGATAGCAACAGCTCCAGCACCACCAGTTGGTTGTGTTGATGGAGTAGAATATATTGCAATATCAGCAGCAACTACCAAAGCCAAGCGGCCATCACAGTACGACGACTCAAGCCAATTAATGGCATTGAAGAGAGCTGCAGTGCCACCATAGCAGGCACTTTTGAGATCGATTCCAGCCAGATCTAAGTTACCCGATTCTTCAAATAAATCCATTAAATGTGTCTTGATGGCTTTCGACTTATCAACCAATGTCTCAGAACCAACCTAAATAAGAGTTAAAGTAAATATGTTCGGAGTAATCCCAGTAGATCGACACATTTGAAGTAAAAATGAGGTAAATACCTCAAGAAATCCGACTTTCTTTAAGTCTAACCCAAAGCGTTCAATCAATCTTTTAGTAACAGTCAAAGAAATGGAAATGACATCTTCAGCTTCATCGCAAATGGCCATTGATAACTGGCCAAGACCTTTGGTATATTTGCCAGGGCATTCGAACTGTGTCTCGAGAGCTGTTTGAGCAATGTATGATTTTGGGAAATATATTTCCGCTGCTAGTATTCCGATATCTTTTTGCATTTGATCAACACACGTGCGACAAAAAAGTAGCTACCAGTCGAAGATATAAATTTGTACATGTTCAAGGCCATTTTAGGTCATTAACACCATTTTAAGTAAAAATTACACAATATTTCTTTCAAACTCATATATATAAACTTCTGTCAATATTATTAATAATTTGTTCATGGCATAACCAAAGTAAGTAAGATTGTTAATAAAATATATTTTGCGAAGGTTTTAAAATATCTTCATGTCATTTCACACCATTATAAAAGACAGTGCAATTCACTTTCATCAATAATAAAATGGTGTGTTGCATACTTAACGAGTGATATTCCATGTCCAAAATCATAAAGGGTTCAATTCTACTAATAATTTTTCTCTGATTAAATTTATTGACTAACTTGCATTATGATTACGCTACCCTTACTGATCATTTACTCCAAGGCTAATAACACTAAGTATAACTTTGCATAGCTTTGGGAGCTTCTTAGAAAGCATTCAGTCAAAATTCTGTTACAAGAAATTGACTCATCAGTTAATTTAATAGTTTGCATAAGTAAGCATGCATACATAAATGAATATATATATATATATATATAGATATATCAGAGCTTCATAGTAGACTAAGATAAGCATACAAACTATTATCCTTCATGGAAAATTTGATATTTAAATTACGCAAGGTTCATACGGCAATTTTCATAAAACCCTCCTTAAATAATGTAGATATCTGGTGAAAACGTTAGAGTTGTGGTAACTTTAAATTTTAAGGCATTTTAAAATGATTTTAGGCAAATTATTATGTTTTTATGAAGATGCGTCTGTTCAAATTCACTTTAAGCGGACGATGGCATTGGAGACAGATTCGAATTCACCTTTCCAATTTTAGCCGCAATGGCGACCGAGTCAGATTTATCGAAATTGGAAATTTCTAAAAATCTCCTACAAATGAATTTTATGAGGAGGACTTTGATCGCAAAAGAAAAATCTGCAAAACCTAGGACAGAAACTTTCACATCCGTTGTGGATATTAATTTTCCACTTAAAAGCAACATTGTTAAAAAACTTAACGAACGACATGAAATGGTATCAAAGTGGTAGGCTCATCGTCCATGCATTATTTTTTAGTCTTTATTAATTTGCAACTTATATGCTAATATATTCTGCATTGGCACAATCCTGTACTTTAGGCCAATTGTACATCAGCTATCGGGTATGAATGGCACTCCTTTCCTGGGTTTTCGAGGCAGTTTTGGGGGCTTCAATCATTACTTCGAAAATCTGGAAAATGGGAAACTCGCTTCCACTGACTCCGAGAATGGCAACAGTAAGAAAGGTGAAATCCAACTCAGCAAATCTAACAGCAAACATCAGTCCAAGCACAAACGAAGATCTCATGGTAGGCGCTTTACTTTCCTCATTTCATTTACCTCCACTTAGTCGTGCATAAAGGTCCTCCAGCAAAGAAACCCAGGAAAAACAAATCCTTGTAGAGTCTTCAACCCATTACCCTGTACAGCAATCAAATCATCTCTTTGTTAATAAATCAGGTGTCCTTGTTTCTTTTTCGATTGTGTATTTAATAAGTGAATGGTAAAAAGTCTCCAAATGAAAACAGTACAAGTAGGGTATAGAGGTGGGCCAATCAATGGTTTCGAATCACCACCACTGATAAGCAATAAATTCAGTAAGGAAGTCAGTAGCGACAATGATGAAAATAAAAAGTATGGCGTAGCCGCGATGAAAGATGTAAAACAGTGGAGAGAGGATCATCCACCAACTCTTGCCAGCGTAGGTATGCTTTCGGTTTACCTATCCCATTGAACCGACGGGATTAAGAACTAGAAGAATTCGACAATGAGAAAAATATGTGGGTATTTGTGCTTGCGCTTGGAGAAAGAGAGTAATTTAGTAACTCACGATCATGGTAGCAGATAAAATTCCAAGGAGAGCTCCTGTGATTACATCAACGCTTCGATGCCAGTTGTCTTGGATGCGGGTCAAACAGACATAGTATGCAATGATGGCAACCGCACATTCATATAGTGATTTGAGCATCATAAATTGGCTTTTGGGGAAACGGATCTGTAAATAAAACTAAAGCAAATGACGTAAAATAAATTGAAATTTTATAGCCTACAATGGTCATAGCAGCTGACCAAGCCATGCAAGCGGAATGACCGGAAGGAAACGAAACCCTAGCTTCTTCAATAATTCTTGCATCATCCGATGTACAGTTGATAACCGTCTGATAATTCGGACCGACATTGTTAGCCGGAATGCAAGCTTCAAGAAAGAAGGGCCGCAAGCTCCCAAATGTCTCCTTCCCAACATTGACTATCAGCATGAGGGAAAGGAATGAGAAGGCTACACATCCGATATATTTGTACAGTTGGAAGAATATCAAAGGAACTTTCGTGTCTGTATCTCGTGGAAAACTGTCCCGATAGGCCAGATATATTTCTAATATAAACATCTGGATAGTAAAGGGAGTGTTAGACAAAGCATATTTGAACAATTACAGGCAGAAGAGGCGCAGATAAACCAATAAATGCGGCCAAAGACATCGATATAGTATTGGGTTTCATGGGGTAAGCAATTGTATTATCGCCCGGAAAGAACCCTCTTTGAAATGGTTCCTTGAATTGAAGTGCAATTAGAGGGATTGAAACTATTAAATAGATCAACTAAATCAACATAAACCTTACCTATTGCTAGAAGCAATACTTCCACACAAATGTAGAGAACACATTTTCCGGTTTCATTCATGGTTGAGAATATTCTAAAAGAATACACCTCGACCGCAGCGACACAACTGTAAGTGTGCACAACAGAATGTAAGGTAGCTTGATGTAAAACCTGCAAAGAGCCGAATATTTAACCAATCAGAATAAAGGTCGTGTAAGGGATAATTTAATTGGTCAAATGCAAGTATTACCCAAACTCGCGGGAAACTGAAAGTTGTTTGTGCAATATTTATTTGAAATGCTTAAGCATTAAATGAAAATCTAAATTTTTAATTGTTTCGTTAAATAGAAACTTGTATTTAGTGTAAAATTATTACTCTGTATGAAATTGTAACTCTTTGAGAGTCTGTACTAATTATGTGAAAATTTCCGCAAAATTATTCGTCGTTCAATCTAATCCGGTTCCCCCAAAATAAAACGGCAATAATCCAAAACTGTGGTATGTCTGATCTCCAACGTTTTATAACTTTATTGGGTCTACTATCTTGAAAATACAAAGCTATTCGAACGTCAGTGTCTCAGAGGGTGTGCATTGCGCCATTATTACATGATACAGTTGATACGGATTTATGAGTAAATTAATTTTAGAAAATTTGAACATATTGTGAGGGTTGTCTAGCTCTCTGGCTGCCAAATATTTTTACATAAGCGTTTGCCACCGCTGGCCTATGGTAGAGGGACAGCCGTGGAGCCTCCGTAGGGGTAATCTCGAATTCTGTCACAAAATATGCCTGGCAAGCCAAACTAACCTTGACGGCTATTTCATTCAATGAGTATTAGAAAATTGGTTTTCAGCCCTAGGCCTCCGAATTCGCTTACAAACAATTCCTTTGTCAAAATGATCAGAATACAATTAAAATACTGAATAATTATACAAGTAACTTTATCTCTTTCGTGATCCCTGGGACGTTTTATTGGCAATCCCTGCGATTTATTCAACCTGTTCATATAGATGATAAGGATATTGAAATTGTATTACTTTTATGACATAAATTGCCAATGGCATGTAATTTTTGAAGGTCAATTTTATTCACTTTTCCTGTGTTATAATCAAAACATGACCTCGCAGCAATTTGCCGGCAGTTTTATTAGCCACTGCAATTGAAGACAACTGTAGCTTTCAATAGGTCAGATCAATTCGTCTCCCAAGTTCAACACATAGAAGCATTTTGATTCCATTCGTTCCGAATGCCCTAGCAAGATGCAATTGCAACCCAAGTCGGTTTCAAATTAAATTTTATTCAGTCTTCCTATTACCTGGGTAATCCGAATGCCATTTTGGGTTAAAAGTTAAAATGCAGTCTTACAGCTCCTCTTTATTTGGGTCTGAACCTTGACTCTCTTCACACGGGATGAGTCATCCCAATTTCAAATTACGCGCGCTAAACTTAAATATACCATAGGTGAAATATGTTACTTCTGTATTATCGCCTATGAGAGCTAATTCGAGTTGGCGGTCATTCTGTTCCAACAAATTTTTTTTGAAGTGGAATTTCCCGTATAACTTCCCCGGGGCGGATTTTCGGAAAATCCCAGTAATTAACTTTAGAGGCATTGGCGTTCATTCAATGAAAGATTTGACCAATTTTCAGAGCTCGCAATCCATAAACAGTAGCATCAATCTTCATAATAAAAATATTCCGCCACACTTAATCCAATATTTAGATGGTGTCGAAATCGAGGCCACTTAATGAGGTTGATCCCAGGCTGCAATTCACTTCACTTTATATATTTGTAAGCATATTTTCAGATAGAGTATCAAGGACTGTCTGCCTTATTATCCGATAATTACATAATCATCGAGATAGCCCACCTAAACACAGACGAAGCAATCGATTGTTCGATTATTCTTTGCATGAGTGCTTAAAAGTGTGAACTTCCACCAGCGCATTGGAATTATAGCAGTGTAGGTGGCGTTAATTGAAGGCTGACTTGCAAAATAATCGCTAAAATTTATGGACAAAGTACGAGAAAGATTTCATGGCACCGAGGAAGCATTCGGGTTCATTTAAATTAAATTAATTAACTTCCATGATAAGCCAACCACAGTAGGGCATGATTGTTAAAAAGATATTTTGTTAACTAAATTCAGCCACATAATATCGAATGCATTTGCAACTTTAGAATTGCGGGTTTATTAATAATCAATAACTAAAGCTGAATTCAAAGGGCCCCAACTTTAAACGGTGGCGCAATTTACAACGCAAATTTGGCAGCGTAACAAAATATATATATATATATATATATATATATATATATATAATGTATAATAATATTTTAAGAGGACGGCAAAACTAAAAGAACTTTCATCACTCGCATTAAAAATATTTCTCCCCAGCATTTTAGATGATGTTGGTAATCTTTCATTCGAACGCATGCAGTTTTCAAATGTTGAAAGGAAAAATTGAATATAAATTTCTGGTTTCCGGACTGATTCAATGTCATTTTAGATATTTTGGTAGACATTTAAATTTTTGAATTGAGTAATGATTTATTTGACTGATAGGGGGGGGGGGGGGGGGGTCAAGCTTACTTAACTTAAGATATGGTATCGCGGAGAACACTGTTATGCTTAGTAATCTCATGCGCGAAAAAACAGTCTGATGCTGATCGCGTTAGGAAGCAAATGAGGTCACAAGTGTAGAGAGACATCTCGACCAATCAATAGTAAGTGCAGGATCAGTGTACACTCTATGCCAGTGAAGTACAATTTGGGTAAATTTATCCCACGTCATACACCTATTTGACTAATTTCGAGATTTTGCCAAGGCGATAAGTAAAGACTTATTCGTTTAGCAAACAGGTACAGTACCATTAACGTGGTGAAACGATAGATTTTCGTTTTCTTTATTTAGTAGAGATCCGCTTTCTTGCTGCTAATATATGAATAAAAATAAAAAATTAGTTTTACTGCGGCCTACTAGCAGTTCTTTCCTTGGCCTTGTTACATTGTTTACTTGGCACATTTGAAGTTATGGAGGGTTTGTTGAGCCTGATTAGAAAGTCCTCTGCCAGCACCCAGAAAGAGGATTTTGGTGTATTCCAACTGGTCTTTCTTGAGGT